TGGCCCATCATTTCCAACAGGAATATTGAGACTCACTGTGATTGGATAGACAGAGATCATCAAACAGCTGAATGTAGTTTGCTGGTTGGCCCTGGGACTGGGCATTGTGAGCCATTTCCAAAGTTGGAATGGTCATAAGTATTGATAGTAGAAGAGGATAGGGTTCCTCTCGATCAGTGGTTCTCCACCTTCTGGTCCTTTAAATCCAGTTCCTGATGTTGGGAGCCAAGCATAAAATTATGTTCGCCCATCCTTCATAACTGTAATGTTGCTACGGGTCTGAATCGTAATTTAAATATCTGATATGCAGGATGGTCTTAGGCGATCCCTCTGAAAGGCCCCTTCTATCCCCCCCCCCCCCCCCCCCGGCCGTGGAGGAGGGACCGCATCTCGTTAGCAAGTGTTCCCCCCCCCCGCCCCCCCGCAGTGACCAGCTCCTCTGAGCGCAGCCCAACCAGCAGCACCTTCGGGGCCCTAGAGCAGGCAGAGCCCCCGCCGCCCAGACCCCTGCCTCATCCGCCTGTTAGCCCATCCTGGGGCGGGGGAGGGGGCAGCTTCTGCTTGAGGCGCCACATGCCTGCGCACAGACTCGTTGGCAGGGAAAGGCAACGCTCTTTCCACGCTTCCTCCTCTCCCGCCACTGCTACGCCTGCACCGCTGTCCCCCCAGCGCCGGCAGAGTCTGACCGGCAGAGTCTGACCGTGGGAGTGACACCTGCTCCCAGGGACGGACGGACGCAGACAGAAAGCTGTGTCTCCGCAGCGCCGGCCCCGGCGGGACAGAGCCACAGGGAGCTGGTGGTGAGGGTGGCACCGGAGCAGAGACCCGGAGAAGGCGCGTCCTCCGCCCCGGCCGCTGGCCCTGTCGCGGGCCTTCCTCACTGTCCTGGGAGGGGCGTGCTGTGGGCGTCGGGGGGTGGCAGCCAGGGGCGCTGCTCAGCACCCTACCATGTGCATGGCGCCCCCCCCCCCCAAGGTTGCCCAGCCCCAAGTGCTCGGGGAGGGCATTCCAGAAGGGGGAGGAGGAGGCGGAGGGGTGGGCCCATGGCACAGGGGCCTGGGACAGGCAGCGGCCTCGGGGCTCGCACTTCATTTTTCCGGGCAGGATGGACCGATTCGGGCAGAGAAGCGCCATTTTAATAGGATCCCGCTCATTCCTGCGTGTCTGTGAGCGGGGCCGTCGGACAGAGCAGGGGTCCAGGGAGGAGGCCGCTGCCACCCCAGGAGGGCGGTGCAGGCAGCCTGATGGGGCCTCTGGGGAGAGGGCGGCTGGCGGGGCAGGTACGTGTGAGATGTGGACGGGTAGACGGGCCGCTGTGGTGTCAGGGGTCCCACGCAGAGCAGGCGTGGGCGTCACCCTCACTCCCAGTCCTTGCCCTGCCCTCCTGGCCCTGCCTCTCCGCCCACAGCCCCCTCCTCCACGCGGCTCCTCCCCAAGCTGCTCCCCCGCCCCCCCCCCCCCACACACAGGCTGCTGTTCCCAGGGCAGCTTTACAAATGACTGCGGGGTTTTCTCTTTAAATAAATGTGCATCGTCCTAGCACATCGTCCTAGCGGCGGCTTCGGCTTTAACGGGAAGGCTCGCTAACTCCTGGGATGGATCAGATCCTGACAGTGAAACAGCCCGGCGACCCAGGCCCGGCCTCACCCGGGCGCATGGTGAGAGCTCTAAGAACCTGGTAAATGTCTAGCTACCTGACAGGTAAAAGCAGTGACTCGGTTAACGAGTGACTCATGGCAGATGGGGCTCCTCACAGCCCGCTCTGCTGGGAGACCCAACCTGGGGCCTCCGTTTCTTAATCTGCAAAACGGGGTGATGATGTGGACTTCAGCGGCTCCGGTGCCGGGCCCAGTCAGCACTCCGCTGATGGCGCGGAGCTCCCACGGATGGGGTTCGCCCTGCGGGAGCCTCTGACTCAGTACAGAGGGCGGGGAACGGCCGCCAGGCGGGGAGGGTGCCGTGGGCCGTGCCGGGTGTGGGCCTGCACAGTGCACACCACCCCCTGCCCCGGGCGCCGGGGCCTTTGTCCCAGGAGCCACCCCCTTCGGTGGCCTCATGAACCTAAAAGTATGCCTGTAACTCGCTCTATCTAATCGGCCTCCGGCCGCTCCGCCTGAGTGCAGCACCCACTGCGGCTATTTGTGGATGTTGGGGAGCCTGCCAGGGCGCCACCAGGAAGTGAAAAGTCGCTGTTGAAGGCAGTCGCCGGTTAAAGGGCCCAAGGAAAGAGAAAAATGCGAGAGGCCATGAAAGACTGTGTTCTCTTCGGGCCTGCGGTTACATCTTGTGGAGGGTCACTGTGGAGGGTCCTCCCAGGAGCGAAGGCGGCACAGCGGGTCTCCGTAAGCGTCAGAGGACCCTTACTCCTCGCATCCACCAGGAGGCTCAGCACTCAGCCTCCGCATTTAGATCTGGGGGTCCTGACTATCATTTGGGGGCCCTCTTAAGAAAAAGAATGCAACACGAACTTTTTAAAAATGAGGTGCTGGCTGTGTAAGGAACCCGGAGGGGGCCCTGACATCCCAGCTTTAAAGGCCTCAGGGTAACCCCTGCCCCCCATGTCCTTACATGATGCCTAGAGACTTATCCCACCAAACATGGGTAGGACACAAGTGGGTTAAAGTTAAAACCAATTTTGGCAGTTTTACCTTGTTTGTTTTTTTAAAGCTCAATTCAATTTATTAAAGTCACAAACTGCAAAGCCCGATCCTTCGTTAAACTTTTAAAAACGCAGCTTGCAAATCTTACCTGTCTGTGCACAAAGCCTGCAGGTTTGAACGGTCACCTTTAAGAGACCTTCTGCACTCGAGGTGTTCGGATATCCCCTGTGGGAGGGCACAGGGCACTGCTCCCCACACCCTCACAGATGGGGTGCTGGGGGCCACGCTCGGGGATCCCCAGCCAACGCCTTTCTCAGGATCTGGAATGTCCCCACAACCTGGCCAGCTTCCACCCACACTTTTCCAAACACTGAAGAGACGAATCCTCACCCTGCCCTCACCCCGGCACAACCCCGGGCCCCAGACAGCCCATGGGGTCCCAGGGACCAGAGAGGGTGAAGGCCTGGCCTGAGGCCACGCAGGAGACCTTGGCAGCGTGGGAACAGCGCCAGAGACCAGACCGCAGCCCGCGGCTCGCGACTCGTTCCTTCTGCCCTGGGCAGACAGACGGGAAAGCCCAGGGACCGAAAAGCTGCCCCGTCTCCCCTCTCCGGGCCCTGGAGGGGGCCGATCAGGAACAGGCAAAGCAGTTCTGAGAGTCTGAGAGCCGGGGAGGAGGCCTTCCTGCCGGCCGTTTGCACAAGACACTGTGGTCAGCCCGCCTCCTTCCTGCAGGAGCGCAACCGACTCACCTCCCAGCACAGACGAGACGCGGCGCAGGGGCTGCGTGAGCTGCAGGCCCAGGACATTGAGGGCTGGTGGTCCCAGAGGGCAGAGCAGGGAGGCCACTTCCTTACGCAAGATCTCAGCACTGGGTTCCAATCCCCGCTCCTCCACCCGAGGGCTGCATGACCCAGGCCAGAGCACGGCCTCCTCAGCCGTCTGTGAAATGGGGGAGTCTTCCCACCACGACTTCGTGTGTGTGTGTGTGTGTGTGTGTGTGTGTGGGCAGCACATGGACACGCTCACGTAACATCTGTGAGCAGCTCCCATGTCAGGGCCCCGGTACGTCCTTTAGCTGGGCCCACCCTCTGAGGGAAACACTATAGCCTGCTGCCTAGGCCCCTCACGGACCTCGTCCCAGGGACTCAACCACCACCCAAGACTGAACGCACTCGCCCAGGGGCACGCCGTGCAAAGCATGTGTCCATAAAAACGTAACCTGCCGGCTTCTGGAAGGGGAACTGGCTGCCACCTGCCACCTTTTTATTTTTAAAAAAATGTGTTTAATGATTCAGAAAGAGGAAGGGAGAGGAGAGAGAGACAGAAACATCAATGATGCGAGAGAATCCTCCATCAGAATCCAACCGAGACCTCCTGGGTCGTAGGTTGATGCTCAACCACTGAGCACACTGGCCGGGCCGTCACCGGCATCTTAACCAAAGTCAGCACTAACCACCGGAGGGAGGGAGTCAGAGACGGGCCTCTGACATCTGAGCCGTCCCGGCTGCACCCGCAGCGGGCAGGACCCGGCATGTCACACATTTCACACGGCCTCCACATGTGCCGGCGCCGGAGCCCGGGAGCTCGGTCCACCTGAGGAAGTCGGGTGAGGTGGGCGGCTGGCTAGCTCTGCACTCCGCCCCTTATCTTCACTCCAGTTAGACGTTTCTCATCCGAAAGAAGCAGGATGGCTCGTCCTCTCCTCAGGGAGAGCATCCTGTCCTGCAGGCGCCCGGAGAGTGAAAACAGCTGCCGCAGACGGGCACCCCAGGGGCATGGAGAGAAAGTCCCTAGCTGCCCAGACCTGCCAGCGCCCCCCACCCCCCTTCCCACCCCCAGCTGCCCGTCTCACCGAATGGTGGGCTGGTCTCCGCTCAGCTGCTTAAACCTCCGGCGGAGCTGCTCGATCTGGTCCGATGAGACTGCGAAGTAAGAGAAGGAAAGAAAATGAGACAGAAAGACACGGGGCTGCGACCTCGGAGCCGCCAGAGGGAGGCTGGGGCCACTGCCCCCCCCCCCCATCCTCGTCCGTTCATTCTCATGCCACCTCCCCCCCGCTGCAAGCAGGCCAGGCAGCCAGGACAGGGCTTCCCACTCTTCCTGGTAACGCAGCTCAGGGTCCCTAGCTCTGACCCCACAGCAATAATACAGCTGTTACTGCAGCTGCTGGGACAGGGGCCCAGGCTCTCCCTCCTTCTCCAGGCCTCTGAGGTCAGACCTCCGGCCGCTCCTGAAGACGGCTCTTTCCCAGCTGAGAAAAGGGCTCAGTGTGGTCACATATGAAGAGAAATACATCAGACAAAGACAACTACCATGGATTTCACTTAGATGCGGAGTCTACAAAACAAAACACACAAACGAAACAGAAACAGACTCACAGACTCAGAGAGAACAGACTGAGGGTTGCCAGACAGGAGGGGAGCTGGGGGGCTGGTGAAAAAGGTGAAGGGATTAAATATAAATTTCCAGGTATGAAGACAGCCATGGGGAGGTGAAGTACAGCACAGGGAATATAGGCAATAATATTGTAATAACTATGTATGGTGTCAGACTTACCAAAGTGATCACTTTCTAAGTTATATTAATGTCTGACCACTATGCTGTACACCTGAACCTAATATAATATTGAATGTCAACTGGATTAGCTATTTTTTTAATCCTTTTTTATGGCCAAGTAGTATTCCATTGTGTACATGTACCACAGCTTTTTTATCCACTCGTCTACTGATGGGCACTTGGGCTGCTTCCAAATCTTGGCTATTGTGAATACCTCTGCAGTGAACATAAGGGTGCATATATTCTTTCAAATTCGTGTTGTGGGTTACTTCAGATAAAATCCCGGAAGTGGAACTGCTGGGTCATCAGGCAGTTCCATCTTTAATTTATTGAGGAAACTCCATGCTGCTTTCCACAGTGGCTGCGCCCGTCCGCACTCCCACCAGCAGTGCACAGGCTGGTTCACTTCTCTCCACAGCCTCGCCAGCACTTGTTTGTGGGTTTATTGGTGATAGTCCGACAACTCACCCAAGTTATTGCACATCTTGTTTGTTCGTGTTCACTGCTGTACATTATTCCATGTTTGAAGAGAGGATGCTTTATCTATTCTGCTATTGCTGGGCATTGGGACATTTTCCAGATTAGGGCTACTCAAATCATACAGCCACAAACATCCTGTGATCTTCTGGTGAATAGAATTATTCATTTCTGTTGGGTACACACCTAGGGGCGGAATTGCTGGCCGATCAAGTATCCAAATGTCCTTGCTAACACACACGTGTATAAATGGCCACATTTACTCCAGAAAGGTGGTCGCTGCCCTCAGTGGTTACCTAACTAACCTTTCCAAGGATCAGTTCCTGCATCTGTAACACGGGGATACAACCCCCTCCTAGGGTGTCCAGAGGAAGAGAGGCTGATTCGTGGAGATAGGCACCCAGGACATAGCGGGCCCTCAGGATCCGCTGACAGTCCTAATGACTATTTTCTAGCAAACAGCAGCTCCTAGGAAGACTTGAGAATGCTGAGCTGTAGATTTTTTTTTTTAATCCTCACCCGAGAAAAGTATTTTTATTGACTTTTAAAGAGAGAGGAAGGGAGAGGAGGAGAGAGAGAAGCATTGATGTGAGAGAGACATTGATTGGCTGCCTCCGAACATGCCCCCACTGGGAATTGAACACGCAACCTATGTACGTGCCCTGACTGGGAATCAAACCCACACCTTTTGGTGCACAGGACGACACTCCAACCAACGGAACCACTCAGCCAGCACGAGCTGAGCCAGGGGCCAACGAAAATGAACAGGAAGTGGGGTTAGATGCCTCTTGAACAAGAGGAGAAAGGTGGCTAAGGGGTGGGGAATGCTGAGCGGACGGTGGTGGGAGAGAGCCCATCTCCAGCTCACCCACTATTTTGGGAAGTTTTGCGTGTAGTCCCCAGGAACCAGACCTACAGGCTCTGAACACCTGGATATTCTGGTCAAACAGGCAATCTGTATAGCAATTAAGGGCAGGCTTTGGGTTGGGCAGATTGGAACCAAGGCCCAGCTCCACCACTTACCAATTGTGTACGTTTTCAAACTATAAGACAGAGGGAAAGTAGCTTCTCATTCACAGGGTGGCTCTGAGGACGAAGCGAGAAGGTGCATGTATGTGTTTAATACTGTGTGTTTCATCACATAAGCACTCACGTGTGGCCAGAACCTTCATAAAGCCTGGAGCCTACAGGGCCGACTTAGTGGTGGATAAACAGGGCCCATCAGCCAAAAATGGTGATTTAAAAAAAGTAAATCTCCTGTACTGAGGTTTTCTAAATTTTAGGTTATTGGGGAAATCGAAACACATTGTCCACAGCAGCAGTTATTAAAATTTTCTTTCATTTTCCTCCCCTTCCCTGGCCCTACCCACCAGATTCCCTGTACATTTCTCACTACAAGTCTCCCAAGGAACTGCCCGCACCAGCCTGAATCACCTTCCCCCTCCCTAATCCTCTCTTAAAATACTAATTGAATTTATTGGGGTGACAGTGGTTAACAAAATTAGACAGGTTTCAGGTGCACAATTCTACAACACATCATCTGTACACGGTACTGTGAGTTCACCACCACCTTCCTCCACGCTGCTCTCTGTGGCCATCACCACACTGTTGTCTGTGTCCATGAGTTTTTTGTTTTGTTTTTGCTCAATCCATCCATCTCCAGAGCTGTCAGCCTGCTCTCTGTTATGAGTCTGTCACTGTTTTGCTTCTTAGTTCATTTTGTTCATTAGATTCCACATATGAACTGACTGGCTTATTTCACTTAGCATCATGCTCTCCAGGTCATCCATGCTGTCACAAAGGGTAAGATTTCGTTCTTTCAGAGCAGGAATAAACAAAATAGAGTCTTTAAAAAACCCAATACAAAAAAATGAATGAAACCAAGAGCTGGTTCTTTGAAAAGATAAATAAGATTGAGAAACCTTTAACCAAACTCATCAAGAAAAAAAAGAGAGAGAGGACCCAAACAAAATCAGAAGTGAAAGAGAAATAACAACTGACACCAAAGAAATACAAAAGATTGTAAGAAAATATTACAGACCACGATATGCTAACAAATTGGACAACAGGGACGAAATGGGTAAATTCCTAGAAACTCACAGTCTGCCAGCACTAGGTCAGGAAGAATCAGAGAATCTGAACAGACAGATTACAACGAGTGAAACTGAAGTAATAATTCAAAAACGCCCAACAAACAAAAGTCCTGGACTGGATGTCTTCACAGGTGGATATTACTAAACATTCAAAGAAGAACTAACACATATTCTCCTCCAACTATTCCAAAAACTTCAAGAGGAGGGAAGTCCCCAAGCTCATTTTATGAGGCCAGCATTATCCTAATCCCAAAATCAGATAAAGACACTGCAAAGAAAGAAAGTTATAGGCCAATATCCCTGATGAACGTAGGCACTAAAATCCTCAACAAAATATTAGGATACTAGATCCAGCAATACAATAAAAAGATCATACACCATGATCAAGGAGGATTTATTCCGGGGATGAAAGGGTGGTACAATATCTGCAAATGAATAAACATGATACATCACACAAACAAAATGAAGGATAAAAACCACATGATCATATCAATAGATGCAGACAAAGCATTCAACAAAATCTATCACCCATTTATGATAAAAACTCTCAGCAAAGTGGGAACAGAGGGAACATACCTCAACATAATTAAGGCCACATATGACAAACCCACAGCCAACATCATACTCAATGGGCAAAAACTAAAACCATTTCCCCTAAGAACAGGAACAAGACAGGGATGTCCGCTTTCACCACTCTTGTTTGACATAGTACTGGAAGTCCTAGTCATAGCAATCAGCTAACAAGAAGAAATAAAAGCCATCCAAATTGGAAAGGAAGAAGTAAAACTGTTACAGATGACATGATACTGTATATAGAGAATCCTAAAGATTCCACCAAAAAAACTACTAGAACTGATACATTAATTCAGTAAAGTAGCAGGACACAAAACAAATATCCAGAAATTAGTTGCATTTTTGTATACCAATAATGAACTATCAGAAAAAGAAAGTAAGAAAATAATCTCATTCACAATTGCTTCAAAAAGAATAAAATACCTAGAAATAAATTTAACCAAGGATATAAAAGATCTGTACTTGGAAAATTAAAAGACACTGAAGAAAGAAATTGAAGAAGATACAAGTGGAAGCATATACCATATTCATGGGTAGGAAGAAGAAAGATCATTAAGATGTCTATACTACCCAAAGCAATCTGTAGATTCAATGCAATTCCCATCAAGATACCAATGACATATTGCACAGAACTAGAACAACTATTCAAAAAATATATATGGAGTGGGGCTAGGGGGGCTGGGTGAAAAAGGTGAAGGGATAAAGAAGTACAAATTGGTAGTTACAAAACAGTCACAGGGATGTAAAGTACAGCACAGGGAATATAGTCAATAGCAGTGTAATAGCTATTATGGTGTCAGGTGGGTACTAGACTTATGGGGGTCACTTTGTAAATTATATATATACTAGAGGCCTGGTGCACACATTTGTGCACAGGTGGGGTCCCTCTGGGTGGCCTGCAGGGATTGGACTGAAACCCGCAGTCCAACGCCGCCTGCAGCTCTTACCTGCTGCTCCTGCTCATCCTGGTCCCACTGTGCCCAATCAATCCTGATCGGGAGAGGCTTGCGCTGCCACAGCAGCGCTCGCCAGCCATGAGCCCTGCATCTGTTGCCTCCCAAGGGGAATGGCCTGCAGGATCAGGCTAAACTGGCTCTCCGACATCCCCCAAGGTGTCCTGGATTGTGAGAGGGCACAGGCCAGGCTGAGGGACCCCACTGGTGCACAATCAGGCTGGGGAGGACTGTGGGAGGGCTCAAGGGCGTGTCCAGCCCATCTCCCTC